TAAATCAAGTTCCGTTGCGTTTTCCGTCGAAAATTGTGAGTATCAAAATGTTAATATTGAGAATATTGGTCAGCATGATACAAGCATTATCAACAGCATGATGCAATCTTTCCTAAAGTAAATTCACTTAATTATTTCAACTTTCATCTTAGTGTAAATCGCACATATTCACCATTTTCCGAAAAATGCAGCTTCGCAGGAGGTAACCTCTTCCTGTGAATGCAAACTGCTTACTTACCAATCAGGCTAAGGCCTTGTTGTCCTCTGCTGTCCGAAGAAGTCGTCTCCACTCTACTCGATCCATGGCCACACTTCGCCAGGCTCGTAGTCTGCGAAGGGTCCGCAGGTCGCCTTCCACTTGGTCGATCCACCTTGCCCGCTGTGCGCCTCTTCTTCTTGTTCCTGTTGGGTCGCTTTCGAAAAATAGTTGGGAGGGTTGTATACTAGATACGACCATAGAGGTAACTCTAAGACCACTGGGTCCCGAAAAAAATCATTATTTTTTGCTCACTCAGTACCAGAACAACGGTCCCAAGCAGTCCCAAGCTATTTCACTCACCCCTGCATGTTCTGCATGAATCCACACACCCCTGATGTTATCTGTCAAACTTTCATAGCGAATCAAAACAAACATAGTGTAGTAATAGAATTTCAACTAGAATAGGGTACGTTAATCGTTTGCTTGGGACCAATAGGCCACCGACAAACCGACATGAATTACCATAGCAAAAACAATAAAATTTCTAACCAAAGCACACTTCTGACATCTGGCTCCGTGTTCGCGGGAAATATTTAGCTAAGCCATGAACCCGCATGCAAAAGTTATGAATTGGTTCGTGTCTGATCGATTCTGGACAAATTATTTTTATCTAGATTAAAAAATCCTATGGTTTTGACAGTTCGGATCACTGCACATTTAAATCGACCGTTTACGATGTTCGGACATAAGTTAGAATTAAGTGTCATGTCGGTTTGTCGGTGAATAGGCTACTGGTGAGCCAATTTAAAATCGTTAGTTTCGTATTGATTGTTGATACGACCGCAGGGTTTGCGTTGGATAACGTCTGTTATGTGTTGTACTTAATTGTGTATATTATATTTTAGGAATATTCCTTAATAACTCTTTTGCAAAGGCTTGGTGGCCCTGAAAAGGGCCGTTTTGTTGGGCTGATGTTGTTGACAATGATGGAACGGGCGACCTTGTTGGACGCTTATATAGTAGAACAGAAAATATCAGAGGTGTCAGATACTCGCATCTGATGTCTCGGTTGGAGAAAGTATAAGAATATAAAAAAATCAATCGATTTTCACCATCTTTAGACAATGGTTTACTTTTAACAATTTTTCAATAGTTTACAGAATGTAATCAATAGTTTTGAAACATTCAGTAAATTGCTAGAAATATTTCCAATCGATTGATGCCATTATCTCGTAAATCTATCGAGAGACGGTTGAGTTATTTCGTTCAAAATCTTTTATTTTTTCGTAACGCATCCAAAATGACTGTTTTCAATTTTGTACCCCCGTATGTTGCCGAAAGACGTTATCCAACGTCAAAACATTCTCACTGCGTCGTCGTGTGACATTCTTACGACGTGCCCAGCCCACCGTAGTCGCCCAATTTTTGCAATGTGGACCGAGGGGGCGACTCTATCTACGATGTAGAAAAAATCGTGTTTAGCTGCGAGCACGCTGAGTAGATAGAAAGCAAATTGATGGCGATTCTGAAGATTTCCTGCAAAAAGACGATATACGATGCAAGTAGATGCGAGAAATGAAAGAAGATTGTTCGAAGATTGTTTCGCTAGTGTGAGATTCGTTGAGCATCTAGAATTGAGATTTAGATGTGTCACCCCCCCTCGATGTGGACGATGGATGTTTCTCTCCGCAACTGGTGCAATTCGTGGATCATTCGCCTCCTCCACAGAGAACAGATGTCCAACTTCGGCCAGGAACTTGTGTAAAGATAAGTGGGAACATCGTCGTTACGTGGCGCTAGCATCTCCTGATTTCCTCTATAAATTTTCCACTTTCGACCAATTTGGCGCTAGTATCGATAAATTTTCTGTTGAAAATTGCCACTTGGCGCTGCAAGGTTGTCAAAGAGGGTTTTTAAGTGGGGAAGTCGCCGTTAGTGGCGCTTAAGTCGAATAGGAATCTTTACAATAGTTTTTAGAGAATATGTGCGATGATATGTGCTTACCTCTCAGTATGTTCAAACTTTCCTATAAACAGTTTTTAGAGAAATTTTGCTCGAGCCTCAACGCCTGTTCTCTGTGCCGCCTCCACGTTCCGTCATCAATCTGCACTCCACTGTAGATGGTACGCAACACTTTCCGTTCGAAAACACCAAGCATAGTCCAGGTCTCGTGGCCGTATATAGAGGACCACCGGTCTAATCAGCGTCTTGCAGATGGTCAACTTCGTGAGGCGACGAATTTTATTCGACCGGAGCATCCTCCGGAGTTCAAAGTAGGCACAATTCGCTGCCATAATGCGTCTTTGACTCTGCTGGTATCATTTTCGGCGGTCCCCAGTGAGCCCAAATACACGAACTTATCTTTTTTTTTTTTTCCTTTTGGTTTGTTTTTTCCGTCGATCTTGTTTTCCGTGCTGAGCACCAATGCTACCGACGTGCCAGGAAGGCAGCTCCCACACCTGAACCCTACCTATCGACCCATCAACTCATGAACCGGGGACCAACGGCTTTACTTCCCATCCGAAGGAAGGCGTGATCAGAGATGTTATGCCTCAGAACATCCCGGCGGCGCCGACTGGGATTGAATCCAGGCCTGCTGGGGTGAGAGGTAATCACGCTTACCACTACACCACCGGCGCCGTTACACGAACTTATCGATCACCCCGATTTCGTCACCGTCAATCTAAACTTGGGGTGGGAGGCGAACATTGTCTTCCCTAGATCCTCTTCCTCTAATATATTTTGTCTTCGGTGCGTTGATGGCAGGTACAATCCGCCAGGCTTCAGCCTTCAGTCTGATGTTTTCCGCCATCGTCTCAAAGTTCCGTGCCATGATATCGATGTCATCAGCGAAGTCAAGAAGCTGGATGGACTTCCTGAAGATCATGCCACTCGTGTCTATCCCAGCTCTTCTGATCACACCTTCTAACGCGATGTTGAATAGCAGACACGGAAGTCCATCACCTTGCCGTAACCCCCTTCGAGATTCAAAGGGACTCGAGAGTGTCCCAGATACCGAACAACGCACATCACTCGATCCATCGTCGCCTTGACCAATCGCGTCAGTTTATCCGGAAATCTGTACTCGTGCATAGTCTGCCATAGCTGATCTCGATCGATTGTGTCGTATGCGGATTTGAAATTGATGAACAAATGATGTGTGAGCACGTTGTATTCGCGGAATTTCTGCAGAACCTGCCGAATCGCAAAAAAATTGTCCGTGGTAGCGCGAGCACTCCTGAATCCCGCCTGGTATTGCCCCACGAACTCTCTTGCAAATGGTGACAGGCGGCGGCATAGAATTTGGGAGAGTATCTTGTAGGCGGTGCTCAGTAGTGTGATCGCACGGTAGTTGCAGCAAACCAACTTGTCGCCCTTTTTGTAGATTGGACATACGACACCTTCCGGTTATATCTCCTCCTCCCAAATCTTGGCAATTACCCAGTGCAGCGCTCTAGCCAGCGCTTCACCACCGTATTTTAATAGCTCACTTGGTAGTTGATCTACACCAGTTGCTTTGTTGTTCTTCTGCCGACCGATCTCCTCCTCAACTTCTTGAAGATCATGGGCCGGTAGACCACGATAGACTGTCGTCTTCTGCGCGTGCTCCAAGGTCTGTTGCCCTGCCATTTTCGTTTTCCGCTGCATCACCGTTGAGGTGCTCGTCATAGTACCATAGAGGTATCTCTAAGACTAGAAGGGCCTATTTTCATGGGAAATTATTAGTTTTTCTTTATGGATCGATTGCCCCAAAAATCGTCTGTTTTACCACAGAGAACAGACGTCCAAGTTCGGTCAGAAACTTGTGTAAAATAAGTGGGAACGTCGCCGTTTCGATCAATTTTTTGTTGAAAATTGCCACTTGGCGCTGCCAGCACTTAGTGTCTAGTGTTATTTGTGCAACGCCAGCGCCTTCAGGATGTCAAATAGAGTTTTTAAGTGGGGAAGTCGCCGTTAGTAACGCTTAAGTTGAATAGGAATCTTCACACAAGTTTTTACAGAAATATTGTTCGAGCCTCAACGACTGTTCACTGTGGTTTTACTTGGAGAATGTGGAAACTAGAGTCGGTGTACAATGAGTCACGCCAAGAGAAAAACTGTTGAACTCGCATCACGGTTTTCGAAAGGTTCCCTTTCTTTTCCCTTGGCAACAGAGGACTGCTATATCAACTTCAAATGATTTCTGGCGAGCAAAAAAAAAAATAGCGGCTGTTGTAAATCATTATATCAGTGATTTTGTCTAGAGTCGGTGTATAATGAGTCACGCCAAGAGTGAAGCCAAGTCTACCTATTGAGCTGTCAAACCGGCTACCTATCGTGCAAAGTAAACAAGCATTACGATGCTATGAAAGGTCCACGAAAGGTATTGCAATTAAATATAAAATATAATCGAAGAAATGGTCATATACACGCAGTGAGCATTACATTTGTCATGTGATACGTTTTGTAATGATCAGTAATGACAATTTCTACTATTTTTAAACCATTATTCTAGTAGTTCTCACTTCGAAATGTAGGTGACGAAAGCTCGGAAAAGTTTCACTCACACAAGACGCCAACTAAACTTATCTAGATTAAATGGTTGGTGCCGTGTTAGGCCCTTTGAAATTACTAATCATACTCATAGTGATATGCTCCAACTGATATTACCCTCGAATTAAATCCCGATCAAGACTGTCCCGGCTGCTTTGATGTCGACATCAGAGGTAATCAACACAATTCTTAGCAAACACTTTGCAGATCATCCAAACAAGACCGGTATTAAAAGTTAATCCGAGTTGGACCTTACCGCCATCAGTGATTATCTTCTGCCGAGTCGTTTTGTTTCTGTTTGCCTGCTAATTTATTTAAAAAAAGTCTTGTGTTAATTTATCCAACTTTTTCGAGTAAAGAAAGTATTGTGTGCCGGTAGAAAGCGAGGCACTAAAGCAAGTACATAACCGTTTAGTGAAGCTCTTGCGTCCAAACAAAACTTCCCCCTAATTGACTAATTCCCAGGAACATCTGGAACATAGCATTTGAAAGACATGGAAACGACCCGAGACCGAAACGTCCGTATCGCCAGCGAAGCGCTACGGCTCGTGCTGGAGTGCAAAGCGCCCCAGTTTTGTTCCTCCGCGGGATCCGTTCACATGGTACAACAGCAGCAAGAATGGTCAAAGCGGTTGCTGTACACGCTACCCCCGTTACTGGAATGGATCGAACAGCACCGGCATACGTTGTTCGGCGAGGAATGGGGCCCAGCCGTGCAGAAGTTTCAAAAACGCTTTGTGTTGGTCTTCCTAGAGCAGCTCAGCGGGTTTTTTAAAAACGGAGAATTTCAGATAAACTATCGCGGTCAGAACGCGTTCGAATTGGAAACCCGGCTGTTAAAGTTCAGCGACGATGTCGAGAGAATCCTCACTACGAACATGGCCATCCGGAGCTGGTTGTTCCACTACTATGGAAGTCAGCTGGGACTGCAGGGCTGGCAGTGCCGACCGGGTGATCTGTACAGCCTCTACCGATTGTTCGATTTTCTGAGGCATCATGAGTTGGACGTTCTCTTCGGGCAGAAAATGCTTTCGTTCTTGGAAAACATAGGGAAAGAACTGCTCGGATTTCCGCAAAACTCGGAATACCAGAGGATGGGTATTCTGGTTATGACAACTGTTATGCAAATCAGCTACGAGAAGCAAAAATACACGAACGATGCAGAGAAGATCCTCAAAATGGCCCTGCACCTGAACAGGGATGTAGGGGAAGAGTACGGTGAAGAATTGTGGAGTATTATCTACTATTCTGTCTCATCAATTCGCGATACCAACAGTTCCTTGAACGATGAGGTTATGCAGAACTTGCTGGCTCTTCTGAATGAAGAGCTCATGAAAATGGAGGACGATGAGGATCTGAACGTTTCATTCGGTGATGGGCCACTTACCTATCTGAGAGCGGTAACTCTGCTGCTGCTGTTGGACGTACCGGAGGTCGGTTTGAAAAATTGCAACTTCGATGAGCTTACCATTTCCGGCCGTACGTGCGATCGGGACAAGTTCCGCCGGCATGTGATGTCCCACTTACGAACGAACAATCTTCGTTTTTCCATCAACATAAGACTTCGAATTGCACAGATGATTCCGAAGCTGTTTGCCGGGTTTACTTCAATCTATTATGTAGATTCACACGCCTACAAGTGCTTGGAATTGCTTTCATGGATGACGATGTTTCCCGTTAGTCGGACTAAGCAGCAGAAAAACGCTAGGGGAATCATGCTGAAACGCTTGCTGGAAGAAATGAAGCTACTGTGCGAGAGTTTCATCAAAAATCCCTCGGAGTACTCGTATGATGAGCAAGATTTGCAAGAACTGTATGATGTAAGTCCTTGGTTTCATGTTTCGAATGATTGATCGCAAGCTAAATGAAGCACTCTTCTTGATGTTCTAGAATCTACATCCGCTGCTGTCCGTTGTACGGGAAGGAATCAAGCAGCTGCCGAATGCGGGACGGTTCCGCAGGTATAAGTGCGATATGCAAATGGGCATAAGCGTAGTACTGGTCCTGTTGGAACTGTTGAAGTGCTTCAGAGAGCAGGAACAGGAGCTGTAGATGGGGACGTCCAACTGCCAGTCTTGTAAGCGACGCGTACGTTTGATTCCTGGTATATTTAGAGAACCATTCAACTTTCTACCTTTATATAGAATACCATTTTTTGCTGCTTTCTTTTATTTTTATTTTTCTGTTGTGCAGTGCAGTGAAGTGTTCAGTGAACCGTCGTTGTAAAAAGAAACAAAATACTTAACAATACAATTATATCTAAGAATGTTTGTTCCTAGCAGAGTTGCAACCTATCACAATTACGATCGTCAAACAGCTGGTCGTAGTCATGCTTGGTACATTCCTATCAATGTGTTGTCAAAGCTCTCTGAATGATCATCCATCAAGTTGACGAAAGAAGTGAAAAGCAACTGGTGAATGTCGTTTTCGGCGCTGATCAATCACCGATCTGGTCATTCCCGACAATCACGACTAATCGGGTGCTCGTTTTGCAGTGTGAGCCCAACGGCTTCCGTTCAATTTTGCCAGCTTTGTTTGTAACTCACATAGGCCCTTACTGCGGGATTCATGGGTGCCCGCGCTACCACGGACCAAATTTTCGCGATTCGGCAGGTTCTGCAGAAATGTCGCGAATACAACGTGCCCCACACATCATTTGTTCATCGATTTCAAATCCGCATGCGACACAATCGATCGAGATCAGCTATGGCAGATTATGCACGAGTACGGATCTCCGGACAAACTGACGCGATTGGTCAAGGCGACGATGGATCGAGTGATGTGCGTTGTTCGAGTATCGGGGACACTCTCGAGTCCCTTTGAATCTCGAAGGGGGTTACGGCAAGGTGATGGACTTTCGTGTCTGCTGTTCAACATCGCGTTAGAAGGTGTGATCAGAAGAGCTGGGATAGACACGAGTGGCACGATATTCAGGAAGTCCATCCAGCTCCTTGACTTCGCCGATGACATTGACATTATGGCACGGAACTTTGAGATGATAGCGGAAACGTACATCAGACTGAAGGCTGAAGCTAGGCGGATTGGATTTGCCATCAACGCATCGAAGACAAAATACATGAAAGGAAGAGGTTCTAGGGAAGACAATGTTAGCCTCCAACCCCGAGTTCAGATTGACGGCGACGAAATCGAGGTGGTCGATGAGTTCGTGTATTTGGGCTCACTGGTGACCGCCGAAAATGATACCAGCAGAGAAATTCAAAGACGCATCATGGCAGGGAATCGTGCCTACTTTGGACTCCGGAGGACGCTCCGGTCGAATAAAATTCGCCGCCGCACGAAGTTGACTGTCTACAAGACGCTGATTAGACCGGTGGTCCTCTACGGCCACGAGACCTGGACTATGCTTGTGGAGGTTTGGTGTTTTCGAACGGAAGATGTTGCGTACCATCTACGGTGGAGTGCAGATGGATGACGGAACGTGGAGGAGGCGAATTGCACCAGCTGCTGGGAGAACCATCCATCGTCCACATTGCAAAAATTGGGCGACTACGGTGGGCTGGGCACGTCGTAAGAATGCCGCACGACGACCCATTGAAAATGGTTCTAGAAAGCATTCCAACAGGAACAAGAAGAAGAGGCGCGCAGTGGGCAAGGTGGATCGACCAAGTAGAAGGTGACTTGCGGACCCTTCGCAGACTACGAGGCTGGCGAACTGTGGCCATGGATCGAGTAGAGTGGAGACAACTTCTTCGGACAGCAGAGGACAACAAGGCCTTAGCCTTATTGGTAAGGTAAGTATAGGCCCTTATTACGGGAACTCCTGACGTGACTTGAATTGGATTAGATTTTTTCTCGCTGAATTTTACAACTCACTGACGGTCCGTTAAATATGACTTAATCCATGACAATTCCCAGTTATTCTAATTTAAAAGCCAACATTGAAATGTCAAGTAAACGCTTTAGTGTATTGTCATTAATGTTGTCAATATTTATATATTGATTATATTGTAAGGAAAATTGACAATACGATGTTTGTCGATTTATTTTCGTATGTAATGGGCGCTTTACAAACAAAGATGGCAAAATTAAACGGAAGCTGTTGGACTCACTCACCAACACATTCACATAAGCAAGCAAAGCAGCAACTGCTTCAAAACGAGCACAGAATGACAAGATCGGTTATGGATCAACACCGAAGACGACATTCACCAGTTGCTTGTTACTTCTTTCGTCAACTTGACGGATGGTCATGGAGAGAACTTCGACGAGCACATTGATAGGAATGTACCAAGCGTTACTACCATCAGCTGTTTGACGATCTTGATTGTGATAGGTCGTAACTTTGGTCTGAGCTGTTCGTCAGGAAGGCAGATCCTTCTTCCTTCCTTAGGTGAGCGAACTGTTGGTGTGAGTCCTTTGTTTGCTTGACAACCTTGGTTCTTTTTCCGTCCTCAGGCGAGTGAACTGTCGGTGTGACTTCGAGTCGCACCGACAGTTCACTCGCTTCACTTCGAGTCATGTCCGCTTGGAACATGATCTTTCTTCCACCCTCAGGTGAGCGAACTGTCGGTGTGTCTTACTGTAACGACCTGTTGATATAGAAGCTTGTTTTTTGTTGAAACCGGCTCCGTTGAATTGTTCCCGAATTTTCTATAGGTTATGGACTCCTCAGAAAAGTAATAGCTGACCGGATCGACTTGCCGAGTCAAGTTTTTTTTTAGGATGCGCTCGTTGATTTTGAAGGCAGAAGCTCCAGCTGAAAATGCTGAAGCAAGACCAAAGTGAGACCATACAGACAGTTGAAGTCTGCGAGTGTCATATACTATAAGTTTATCGGAGACAGGAATCAGCTAAACAGAGATGGTTAATCATCATCATGCGAAGACATCGAATGCAGGAAGAATCACTTGCTATGTGCAGTTACCACCTGGTGAACGACCTATTTATCGTCGATATGGCCAAAGAAAGTGTAGCCTTCAAAAGTGTCCATTACTAAGTTAACCGGCCTGACAAACAAAGGTATTGAACATTTCAGAGGCATTCTGGATAATTTAAAGGAATTTTGAGGGAAATTTCAAGGATGTTTTGGTCGCCAGGAATTGTGAGAGGAACTTCTAGGATAATTCGATGGCAGAATCTTAAAGTGAATTTAAAGGAATTCTGAGGAAATTAACAAGGGTATTCTGAGGATAGTTCCGTGGAAGATTCCATTGCAATTCCAAGGAGAATAGCTATAAGGAATCATGAGCAGGAGGATTTGTTTATTTGTCGTCAATCCGTGTAGACCGTTTTACAATTTTACATAAACGCTAATTGTTACAATTTTACTTCAAGTACCTACTTGCATAACATTTATATTTTATTATTGATGCCTAGCTAACGTCGTGAAGAAAGTTTTTTAAGCGTAGTTTTATTCATTGTTATGTCAATATATTCACAGTATGTATTATAGCAAGACATCATTCTATTCAGTGGGCTGTTTTTGGCATAGCCTGTCTTTGATTGTTGATGCTAAACAAATTTCTATTCCGCAGTGAGCGAGTGGGAGCATAATAATTGATATTTTCCAAAATCTCTGGGCTGGTAACTCTTTGCGAAATCACATCGTTTTTAAGAGCAATCATTGCGAACTCTCTTTGCTTTTTGAGCTCATCTAAATTAATAAGCATACAACGCGATTCATAAGATGGAAGTGGAAAACTCGTCCAACCCAACTTTCTTAGAGCAAACAACAAGAACTGCTTTTGAACTGATTCAATGCGGTTTACATGTGTATCATGATATGGAGCCCAAACTATGCTACAATATTCGAGAAGAGGCCTCACATATGCTACGTAAAGTGTTTTGATTGTGTAGGGATCATTGAAGTGCAGGGATTTTTTGGAGAATGTTACATGCTGCATGCATGTTCCCCGATTAATCTGATAGCAAGGAAGACGTTGACTTCCACCAACGATGGTCGCTTTGAAGGATGCATGTCATTTTGTTATATTTCTTTGGTCCCATATTTAAATAAAAATTCACTAAGAAGGGTACCAACAATTTGTGTTTTTGAAAATAACTGAGACTGGTTCTAAACAGTATCTACTGTTTAAAAGTTTTGTTCAGTTCTCTTTAGTTTTTCAGCGTTTTCATAATTCATTCTCAGACCGGTATTGGCCAGGAAAAACAAATTAATTAAAACCCACTCAGCACCTGTGGGATTTGACGACTTTGGACGTGAGCCTCGTCCTAGATCACCATCGCAAGATAGTGGACATAGAATTAATTTAGTGGACATGAAACCGACCACACCAACCAGCGAGGAAGCAGTCAACATCGAATCAGTGCGGATTTATCTCCCTCGGAAAAATAAGAAAAACCCGGAAAAGGCGGAATCATGTAAGAACCAACCAGACGATCTACGGAAGGAAATTGCCGGTGAAGTACGGAATGAAATACGAAGCGTTAGAGAAAAACTCCAAGGGATCCAAAAGAAGCAATTAACAGCGGCGGAAGAGCAGAATATGGTGAGAGCTGTCCAAATTAAATATCGAAATTAAAACTAAATACATGCCAGGTTTGAAAATGATATTTTCGAACCTGGAAGTGTGTATACTAGACTGATGCAAAATTTAAAATTTTCGCTCCACAGTGTTCAAACGGTTTCAAATCGGGTCCTGATTAGCCTCCTAAAGTTTAAACTCATTTGATAAGAAACTGACTTGGCACAAACCATTTGAAGTTAATATGGAAATTACTATGGGAAAACAAAACTTTTTGTTCATTGTCTTCTAGCATTTTTACATATTGTACTGTTAACAAATTCTATTGCTATTCTTATGGAAATTTTTATCAGCTATAACTTTGCAGAAAATTGTTTTTCAGTCAAACGTCAAATTAAATAGTTATTAATTGTTTAAGAGATTGATAATGCTATGGCAAGATCAAGCAACTGTATTGTGGGCAACACTGTATTCTGCAGTGTGACATAGTAGCCATGATTTTTGTCCTCTATTCTACGCACCATAAACACCAATGTTGCCTGCTGAACAGTTGATTGAGCATAATCATAAAACATCAGTGACTTTGATCACTGAACATTGAAATGTCAAGTCTATCGAACTCTTTACTGAAATCAGTGTAAAGAGAGCTTCTATTAGGTTTCCTTCATCCACTGCAGTTAATGACCCTTATTACGGATGTCACTTCACAGTGAAAACGAAGTTAAGTGACCACTTGTCACTCACGGTGAAGTGATTGCCGTGTAAATCAAATGGGAAT